GTGTGGGCCTGTATTTTCTAGCTTTGCCCACTGGGTGGTCTAAGAAGTAGTGACATCTCAGTGGCCATGAACACATCTAGTGCCCAAATCATGCCTTCTAATGCCATTCTTCAAGGAACCAGAGCTCCTTGGAACGATAGTTGATCTGGACTGTGACCAGCAAAGACCCAGAAGAGCCTGTGATACTATGTTGTGCCGGAAAGAAAGGAAATGTTCAAAGAAAGCTTTCAAAAGAACACAAAACTCCACAACCATGTATGTATTTGTTATAGTCCCTGTAAAAACACTTGCTCTATGGCTGGAAGGTTACCATGAGTTTGAATTCGTTGCCAGAGATTCACTGGCAAAAGCTAGAACAAGATTACAGCAGACTGTTGGAACTAGAAATGGGGGAATGCAGATTGAATAGTTCTGTGCTAAATGGGGGAAGGTAGAATGTATGGGAAGGAGAATATGTGGGAAGGATGCAGGGGCCCTGGGCATTGATTTTTTTTTTTTTTCAAATCAAGAATTGTGTCATAGTATAATGTAGAGAAAACTAGCCTGGCTGTTGAATCTATAAAGAGATGATAGTTCCAAAGATTATGGAGTTTGGAGTGTCTCTCTTTGGGTTGAGATAATGTTCAAGCTGGACTTGTGGTACATCTGTTAATTTGAAATTTAAGTTGTCGGAGACTACAGCTGAAAAAAATACTTAAGATAAAAATTAACCTGCATGGCAACCACATTGCATATGGTTAATTTGCCTTAATGTAGAGGGAAGCAGCAATGTTTACTGCAGTAGGTCTTAAGCTAGACTAATTATTACCACTTCTCGATGAGCTTTTAAAATAAATACACAGTCTCAGAAATAAATAGCAATAACTGGTATGGTAAAAAGGGTGAAGCCAGTTGTTTCAAAACATGGCTTCATCATTTTCTAAATGCGCATCCTTAAACAAGCTGTTTAACCTCTTTGAGCCTCAGTTTTTTCACCTGTAAAATGGTACTACTAGCAGCTATTTTATGGTGTTATAATGTATGCAACAGGTGCTCTCTTGGTAATTACCTTCTGCATCAACTCCCCACACTGCCCACCAACTGCTGATGCATACTTTGTACTCTGGAATGCCTCATATTGTTGCTAAAGTCAAACAAAAGCCATACTCTGGAATCTTGGCTGAGAGTGTAGTATAACCAATTTAGCAAAAAGGGGAAAACACATCAGGAGTGATAGGCCAGACTCCACTATTTGCACTTTAGGGCTTGGATGAGGCCGTAGCACAGAAAACCAGGGAGACAGTGCAGAGGCTTCCTTCCCAGGACGCTCTTGTTTTGGAGATAGGCACGACCAGACAGATGGTAACATGGTATAATCTTTTGCTTTTCAAGAGACCCTGTCTTGCCAAAAGGTCTCCTCACATTCCAGGAAGAGGGCTGGGACTCCCTAAGAAGTTGCCAGAAGCCTTGTTTGACCTATAGCAATGTCAAGAGGCTAACACATATCTTGACATGCCACAGAAGCTTAACTATAATTAATATCTTCTTTTATATATCTTTGTGTATACCTTTGATTATATAATTAGGATGAATTCCTAGAAATGGGAGTACTGGGCTTTCTATATACATTTTAACAAATTGATTGCCAGAAGTGTCTACCAATGTCTGGTAGACATTGTCTGGTAATTCCAATGTCCAATTAATGGTTCATTGGAATGTTATTTTGCTATGCCCTTGGCATTGTTATTTTTAAATATGCTGTGGCATTGCTATTTTTAAAGTATCTGTGAATTTGTTCAATTATACATCATAATAACAGTTAATACACATATAGTGCTTACTATATGCCATGCACTGTTTTAGTACTTTACATGTATAGTAGAATTCTAGGAGGGCCCCCAAGATTTCTTGCCCTCTAGCATACACGTTCTATGTAACTCCCAGGAGTGTGAATATGTTGAGCTATCTCTGCCATGACTATGTTACATTATATGGCAAGAGATTTGGAGATGTAATTAAGTTTCCTGATAGTTGATCTCAAAATAGGGGAGATTATCCAAGTGAGCCTGATCTTATCAAAAGAGCCCTTTAAATTTGGGTCTAGAGAAAATTAGAGATCCAAAGTATGAGAAGGAATTGGCATGAAGGTGATTATCCTTGGTTGGCTTTGAATATGTAGAGGGCCACATGAGGAATGCAAACAACTGTGGTCACTGACAACAGTCCCTGGCTGACAGTGAGCAAGGAAGTGGGACTTCAGTCCAATAGCTGCAAGTAACTGAATTTGACTGACAATAATGATGAGCTGGAAAATGGTTTTTCCCTTAAAGTTCTAGAAAAGGACTCACCCTGGTAATCCCTTGATTGCAGCTTAATCAAACTCTGAGCAAAGAACCTAATCATGCCATGCCAGACTTCTGACCTGCAGAACTGTGAGCTAATGAATGGGTATTGTGTTTAAAGACACAGGACACAGAAGCCAGCTTGAAGGGGTTTCCACAGGCCAAATTTGGGATAATGTGAGCATCAAAATAAACAAATATAGTAATAGATTATAATCCATTTGTTTTATCTCTTCTGCATTGCTATAAAGAACTACATGAGACTGGGTAGCTTATGAAGAAGGAAGGTTTAATTGACTCACAGTTTCACAGGTCATACAGAAAACATGGCTTGGACAGCCTCAGAAGACTTACAATCATGGTAGAAGGTGAAGGAAAGGCAGGAGTCTCCTCATGGCTGGAGAAGGAGGAAGAAAGAATGAAGGGGGAGGTGCTACCCACTTTTAAACAAACAGATCTCTTGAGAATTCACTCACTCTTACAGAATAGCAAGGGAGAAATTCACCTGATGATTCAATCACTTCCCACCAGGTCCCTCCTCCAGCACTGGGTATTACAATTCCACATGAGATTTGGATGGTGACACAGAACCAAACTGTATCAACATTGAATAAAACAAATTACACAGATATGAAGAAACAAAAACATATATGTTTAATGAGAAATTAAACTTTATTAATTTCTAGGTACCTCTCCACAAAATACAAGTAGGAAAAAATAGTAACTTTATAGTGGAGAAACCTGACCGGCCCTACTTTAATTAAGCGATCAAAGTCAACAGTGTCTGTAATGAACAAAGGGAAATCAGGTAATGCAATAAGAAGAGCACAACATCACTTCTGTGATATTCCTGTCAGATGCATAAACTAGGCCTAATCATCAAGAAACATCAGACAAACCAAAATTGAAGGACATGCTACAAAATAACTGGCATGTAATCTTCAAAAGTGTCAAGATCCTGAAAGTCAAAGACAAAGTAGCAATTCTGGACTGAAGGGGACTAAGGAGACATGTCAACAATATGTAATGCTTGATTCAGAACTGGAGCCTTTTTCTATAAAGGACATTATTGGAACAGTTGGCAAAACTTGAATGAGATCTGAGGATTAGTTAATAGTAATATTATCATTGTTAAATCTCTTGTTGCTGAGAGTTATCTTGTGGTTATGTAGGAGAATGTCCTTGTGTGAAGGAAAGACACCGTCAGGTATTCAGGAGGGATGGGGAATCAGGACAACAGTTTCCTCTGAAATGGAACCTTCCTTCAGAAAAATAAACTTCCTTATTCTCTACTTGCAACTTTTCTATAAGTCTGTGATTGTTTGCAAACATAAAAACATAACTTAAAAAATCTTTAAAAGAAAAAAATTTTCTTTCACTGAAAATTTGTAAAATATGGAACACGAAGAAAATAAAAAACATTCTATTCACATTAATTTCTGCTCTATTTTGGTGTCTAGCTTTCCAGTCATTTATTAAATATACATCTATGCTTATATATATGCATACACTTTTAAAATTAGAATTGTATCTATTTCTTATCTTGCTTTAGAATTTGTATCTGTAAGCTACATGTCACTAAAGAGTCATGGATAATATCTTTTTTTTTGAGATGGAGTCTTGCTCTGTCACCCGGGCTAGAGTGCAGTGGCATGATCTTGGCTCACTGTAACCTCCATCTCCCAGGCTCAAATGATTCTCATGCCTCAGCCTCCCAAGTAGCTAAAATTACAGGCATGCATCGCCACACCCAGCTAATTTATTTTTATGTTCATTTTTAGTAGAGACAGGTTTTCACCATATTGGCCAGGCTGGTCTCTAACTCCTGACCTCAGGTGATCCATCTGCCTTGGCCTCCCAGAGTGCTGGGATTACAGGCATAAGCCACCACACCCGCCCGATAATATCAATTTTTATGGCAACATTTTTTACATGTAAAAATGACACTGAAATATTCAGATTTGGTTTTAAAATTATCTGAGCACTTTTATTCAAGTTTGTCACCTCTGTCACTTGGTCATGTCAAACCAGCCTTAGCTAGCAGTTACAGAAAGTATCTTGGAGCAAATAATACATATGTCAAAGAAGAATGATGCTGTTTACACATTCTTTGTCTTATACACATTTCTCGTTGGACAGGACTAGAGGCAGCATTTTCTAGACCCAAGTTGGCACTAGTATTAATGAATATTTCAATACCCACTCTACCTCTCAGTCCTTTTCCCAATAACAAAAATCTAACAGTGAATGTGTGAATATACCTCAATTTATTCTACTATTGATATCTTGTGTGTTAGTCCACTTGAGCTACTATAACAAAATACTATTGACTAGGTTATTATCAAACGTCAGAAATTGATTGCTTATTTGGTGTTGAGAGCTTGATGAGGCAATATGAGGACTTGTTCTTTGCCTCAAAGAGGGGTCCTTGTTGCTGTGTCTTCACATGGTGGAAGGGGCAAATACTCACCTTTTAGTCTTTTTTGTGAGGGTGCTAATCCCATTGAGGAGAAAGAAGCCTTCATGATTTAATAACTTCCTAAGAGGCCCCAACTCTTAATACAGTCACATTGGGGATTAAGTTTCAACATTTGAATTTACCCGGGGGGTGGGGGCATGAAATATCAACATTTACATCATAGCACCTGGTTAGTTTATTTTGTTTGTTTGTTTTTTCAGGTAGGAGTGCCATGGTGTAATCATGGCTCACTGAAGCCTTGACCTCCTGGGCTCAAGCAATCCTCCCATTTCAGCTTTTGGAGAAGCTGGAACTATAGGTGTGTACCACCACATTTTGCTAATTTTTAAATTTTTTTGTAGAGTCAGTATTTCTGGTTGTTGTCCAGGCTATGGGTCATTTCTAACATGGGTTACTAGAAATAGGACTGCTATGACCATTCCAATATGTGTCTTCTGATTAATATATGTGCAAATTTCTGTTGAATATATAAAAGGTTTAATGGCTAGATTATAGTAGCTGAACTGCCAGTGATTTTTTTTTTCTAAAGAAGTTGTTCCAGTTTACACACCCACCAGCCATGTGTGAATGTTCTGGTTGCTCCACTTTCTTACCAACATTTGGTATTTTCTATCTTTTTCATTTCAGCTACCCTAGTGTGTTTATAGAGGTATTGCACTGTGGTTTTAAATTGGATTTTGCTAATGGATAAAGTTGAGCGCATTTTAATATGTTTATTGGCCACTTGGGTATCCTTTTATTGTGGAGTGTCTGTTGAGTTCTTCTGGCCCATTTTTTATTGGGTTGTCTGCCTTTTTCTCATTAATTTGCATGAGCTTTAATATATACATATGTATTCTGGGTTCAAGTCTTTTGAAAAGATATATGGCAAATGTATTTTCCTACTCTTCAGGCTGTCTTTTCACTCCCTTAATGGTGTCTTTGGATAAATAGATGTTCTTAATTTTAGTATTTCCAAACTTATTACATTTTCCATTTAAGATGAGTATTTTTTAAAAGAATTTTTTGCCAATTCCAAGGTCATGAATATGTTCTCCTTTGTTTTCTTCCAAAATGTTCATTTTTATCTTTCACATTTAGAGCTGCAGTACATCTGTAATTGATTAATGTGACTGCTGGGAATTAGGGAATCAAGAATCACTTTTTCCATGCGGATATCCAACTGACCCTGGACCATTTATTAAAGACTGTTCTTTCCATACTGCACAGCAGTATGACTCACTTCTTCATAAATCAGGTGACTGTGTATGTATGGATCTGTTTCTTGAGACTATACTGTTCATTGGCGTATTTGCCCATCCTTGTTCCAATAACAGTCTTGATTATTAGAGCTTCATAATGGATCTTGATATATGGTACTATAAATCCTCCAGCTTTGCTCTTTTCATCAAGATTCTTTTGGCTGTCCTTTGTCCTTTACATTTTTGTATATATTTTTAAACCAGCTTGCCAATTTTCACATGCACAAAAAAATTTCTAGGGTTTCAGTTGAGACTGTATAAATCAATTTGGAAGAGCTGACATTTTTACAATACTGAGTCTTACCCACCATTTAGGTAATTTGCTGAGGGTACCACAGTTTATAAGTGGTGAACCTGGAATTCAGTCTTTCACAGGCTGACTCCAAAGACCAACACTACTCTAGAGTTGAAGAATGCCTTAGTTTTGAGGATGTGCTTTTTTTTTCAACTATATTTTAAATGAACCTATTTTGTTGGTTTACAATAATGCTTTCTTCTATAGTACTATCTTCGTAAAACCTTGCATTGTATGGTATCTCATAATTTAATTTAACCAGTCCCTATGATCACTCATTTTAAAGTCATTTCCAGTTTTTCTCCAAGCAGATAATTCAGCTACAGGCATACTTGTAAAGATATGTTTTTGTATGTTTTCTTGGGACAAGTCTCTAAAATTGTCACTGGGTCAAATGGTATAAAAAATGTTAAGAATTTTGGGCCAGGTGCAGTGGCTCACATCTGTAATTTCAGCACTTTGAGAGGCCAAGGCAGGCAGATCACAAGGTGAGGAGATCGAGACCATCCTGTTCAATATGATGAAACCCTGTCTTTACTAAAAATACAAAAATTAGCTGGGTGCGGTGGTGTGTGCCTGTAATCCCAGCTACTCAGGAGGCTGAGGCAGGAGAACCGCTTGAACCAGGGAGTTGAAGGTTGCAGTGAGCCAAGTTTGTGCCACTGCACTACAGCCTGGCAACAGAGTGAGACTCCATCTCAAAAAAACAAGAGTTTTGGTACAGAGCTGGTTGCAGTGGTGGATACCTACAGTCAGCTACTCAACAGGCTGAAGTAGGAGGATAGGATGATCGCTTGAGCCAAGGAGTTCAAGACCAACCTGGGTAACAGAGTGAGACCCCATCTCAAAAAAAGGAAAGAGAGAATTTTGATACAGGTGTACTTTGGAGATATTTCAGATTTGATTCCAGGCTACTACAATAAAGCTAATATTGCAATAAAGCAAGTGACATGAATCTTTTGGTTTTCTAATGCCTGTAAAAGTTATTTTTACAGTATATTATAGTCTATTAAGTGTGCAATAGCATTATGTCTAAAAAATGTACATATCTTAAAAATCCTTTAGTGCTAAAAACTACCAATGCTCATCTGAGCCTCAGTGAGTCATAATCTTTTTGCTGATCTTGCCTCAATGTTGATGGCTGCTGACTGATCAGGGTAGTGGCTGAAGAAGGTTGGGATAGCTGTGGCAATTTTTAAAAGGAAGACAACAGTGAAGTTTGCCACATCAATTGACTCTTCCTTTCATGAAAGATTTCTCTGAAGCATGTGATGCTTTTGATAGCATTTTACCCACCATAGAACTTTTTGCAAAACTGGAGTCAGTCTTCTCAAACCCTGACACTGCTTTATCAACTAAGTTTATGTAATATTCTAAATCTTTTGTTATTTCGGCAGTGTTCACAAGTATCTTCACCAGGTGTAGATTTCATCTCCAGAAACCAGTTTCTTTGCTTATCCACAAGAAGCAACTCCTTGTCTGTTCAAGTTATATTATGAGATTGTAGAAATTCAGTTACATCTTCAGGCTCTACTCCTAGTTCCCTTGCTGTTTCCACCACATCTGCAGTTACTTCCTCCACAGAAGTGTTGAACCCTTCAAAGTTATTTACAAGGGTTGGAATCAACCTTTTCCAACCTCTTAATGTTGCTATTTATTTTGACCTCCTTTCAGAAATCATGAATGCTCCTAGTGGCATCTAGAATAGTTAATACTTTGCAGAAGGTATTTAATTTACTTTGCCCAGATGCATCAGAGAAATTACTATCTATGTCAGCTATAGCCTTATGAAATGTGTTTCTTAAATAATAAGACTTGAAAGTTGAAATGACTCCTGATCCATGGGCTACAGAATAAATGTTATGTTAGCAGGCATGAAAACAACATTAATCTGTACATCTCCATCAGACCTCTTGGGTGACTACGTGTATTGTCAATGAACAGTAAATTTTGAAAATAATCTTTTTTTTCTGAGCAGTAAGTCTCAACAGTGGGCTTAAAACATTCAGTTAGCCGAGCGCGGTGGCTCACGCCTATAATCCCAGCACTTTGGGAGGCCAAGGCGGGTGGATCACGAGATCAAGAGATCAAGACCATCCTGGTCAACAAGGTGAAACCCCATCTCTACTAAAAATACAAAAATTAGCTGGGCATGGTGGTGCCCGCCTGTAGTCCCAGCTACTTGGGAGGCTGAGGCAGGAGAATTGCTTGAACCCAGGAGGTGGAGGTTGCAATGAGCCGAGATCGTGCCATTGCACTCCAGCCTGGGTAACAACAGGGAAACTCCATCTCATAAAACAACAACAACAACAACAACAACAAACATTCAGTTAATCATGGTGTAAACAGATGTGCTATCACCCAGGCTTTGTTACTTCATTTATAGAGCACAGACAGACTTAATTTTTAAGAGCCCCAGGATTTTCAGAATGGTAAAGGAGCACTGGCTTCAACTTAAAGTCACCAGCTGTGCTAGATCCTAACAAGAAAATCAACCTGTCCTTTGAATTGTTTTTTCTTTTCTTGCTCTGAAAGTCGTAGGTGGCATTTTCTTTAAGTATAAGGCTGTTTTATCGACTCTTTAAATCTATTGTTTAGTTTCGCCACCTTCACCAATGATGTTAGCAAGAGCTTCTGGATAACTTGCTGCAGCTTCTGAATCAGCACTTGCTGCTCCATTTTGCATTTTTATGTTCTGGATATAGTATCTTTCCTTAAACCTTATGAGCCCTCTGCCAGCTTCAAACTTTCTTAGGCAGCTTTCTCACTTCTCTTAGGCTTCCTAGAATCAAAGAGAGTTAGGGCCTTGCTCTGAACTAGGGTTTTGCTTAAAGATTGTTGTGGCTGCTTTGATCTTCTATCCTGACCACTCAAACTTACTCCATGTGAGCAATAAGACGGTTTTTCTTTCTTATCATTTGCGTGTTTACTGGAGTAGCCCTTTTCATTTCTTTCAAGAACTTTTCCTTCGCATTCATAGCTTGGCTAACTGGAACAACAGGTCTAACTTTTGCCCCATTTTGGCTTTTGACAGGCCTTCCACACCAAGTTAAAACATTTTTAGCTTTTGATTCTAAGTTAAAGATGTACTATTCTTCTTCAGTTGAACACCTATAGGACATTGTAGGGCTATTAATTAGCCTAATTTCAATATTGTTGTGTCTCAGAAAATAGGGACACCCTAGGAGAGGGAAAGACAGGGGAAAGCAGCTGGAATGAATTAGTCAGAATACACACATTTATCAAGTTTGCTTTCTTGTATGAATGCAGTTTGAGGTTCACTAAAACAATTACAATAGTAACATCAAAGACCACCGATCATAGATCACCATAATAAATATAATGATGAAGGGTTCTGCAATAATTACCAAAATAAGGCACAGAGATATTAAATGAACACTGCTATTGAAAAGGTGATGCTGGTAGACTTGCTTGACACAGGGTTGCCACAGACATTCAATATCTGTGAAGTGCAATGAAGTGAAGCACAAAACAAGGTATGCCTGTATGTTGCCAGATAGCCCCCTAGATACTCACCAACAATGTGTATGAGAGTTAATTTACTGCTGCCTTCCCAATTTGATATATATATATATATTTTATTTTTTGTTAATTTTATTGGGAATGTTGTAGTTAATTATTTTAATTTGAATGTTTTTGACTGCTAGTAACGAGTTATAGTCATATGTTAGTGACTATTTTATGTTATTGAACATTATATTTTGAAACAAAATATTCTATGGCACTTTTAAAGTCAAGTGG